CGCCCGGCCCCACCCCTCAAGCCTGTCAAGGTCCCTCTGGATGCCATCCCTTCCCTCCAGTGTGTTGACTGCACCTCACATCTTGGTGTTGTCAGCAAACTTGCTGAGGGTGCACTCAATCCCACTGTCCATGTTGCCGACAAAGATGTTAAACAGAGCCGGTCCCAATACCAACCCCTGAAGAACGCCACTTGTCACTGGTCTCCACTTGGACATCGAGCCGTTGACCACAACTCTTTGAGTGCGACCATCCAGCCAATTCCTTATCCACCAAGTGGTCCATCCATCAAATCCATGTCTCTAAATTTTAGAGACAAGGATGTCGTGTGGGACAGAGTCAAATGCTTTGCACAAGTCCAGGTAGATGACGTCAGTTGCTCTTCCCTTATCCAGCAATGCTGTAACCCCGTCATAGAAGGCCACCAAATTTGTCAGGCACAATTTGCCCTTAGTGAAGCCATGTTGTCTGTCACCCATCACCTCCTTATTTTCCATGTGCCTTAGCATAGTTTCCAGGAGGATCTGCTCCATGATCTTGCCAGGCACAGAGGTGAGGCTGACTGGCCTGTAGTTCCCCAGGTATTCCTTTTTTCCCTTTTTAAAAATGGGGGTTATGTTTCCCCTTTTCCAGTCAGTGGGAACTTCACCGGACTGCCATGACTTCTCAAATATGATGGATAGTGGCTTAGCAACTTCATCTGCCAGTTCCCTCAGGACCCGCGGATGCATCTCATCAGGTCCCATGGACTTGTGCACCTTCAGGTTCGAACCTGATCTTCTCCTACCGTGGGCACTACTTCATTCTCCCAGTCCTTGCCTTTGCCTTCTGTGACTTGGGCAGTGTGGTTTGAGCACTTGCCAGTGAAGACCAAGGCAAAAAAGTTGTTGAGTACCTCAGCCTTCTCGATATCCCAGGTAACCAGGTCTCCCGTTTCCTTCCGGAGAGGGCCCACATTTTCCCTAGTCTTTTATCACCTTTCATCCAGAGTATGTTATTATCTGTAATTATTAACTCTACCAAGTTCCAAGAAATATAAATGGGATGTTTTCTACAGAGGCTGAAAGTATACTGTTATCTTAGTTCTTCTAACTCTCAGTTCTTGGGTTATTTTACACAAAGAATTGTCCAGGTTTTTTTAGGTGTCTTGTTATTTCACCAGATGTCACGTTTTCTTGCTTCATGGACATATAATTCCTATAAATGTGCATGGGAGTTGAAGGAACATAAAAAAAAAGAATATACTGTATTTTGGAAATAATTTAAACCTTTTTAATAAGCATTATAATGTTAACACATACAAAATATTCTTGATCTACCAAATTTTAATCTATAGTTTTACAGTTTAGTTTTAAAGTAGTACCAAAAAATTAAAAGAATTTCTAAGCATTGAAGTTGGATACCTGAAATATGTTTAATTAAATGTTTAGGACAACATACCAGATATGCTTCTTTTTGATAGCTGGACCTGAAACCCCTTATGTTTCATAAATATTAGCACTGCAAACATCTTTAAAATAGTTATTTTGGCCAAATTTGTCAAGATGATTAAATATGTTTGTACCGATCTGCCTCTGCACTTCCCTGTTTTATCAAAAAACCTGGCTCAAACATTAGATCTACAATATACTCTTGAGGAGGAAGCAGAAGCCCAGCTATTCCTTGAGGAGAGTCATCAACCACTTTAACTTCATTCCAAGCTCTGTTATACTCGCCACGAACTAAACTACAGCCAATGCCAATTCTGTCTGCTATCACCTAAAAAGGAAAGAAAAAGGAGTTAATCACAGTTAATACATGTAGTTTATGCGATATACAGCAAGGCCAAGAGATGCTTAAAAAGAAAACAAATACCTGAAAGGCCAAGAGCTTTCTTGAAACAGACTTTGTAAATCTCTAAAGTGTTCCAAACTGCAAATCTTTATTGTTGGTTCTGCTTAGAAAGTGTAGGCTTTTAAATGTTATTTCTACCATATTCTATGCACAACATGAAAAATATTCATTTTAACTCTTTTCAGACATTGATACATTTGTTTATCACCTAGTCCTTCAGATCTCAAATGAAGTGCAACAGCCACAGTACCCAGCAATATTTTTTTCTGGTTGGAAGACTTATTTCTGAATAACGTTTTGAAGAACTGTCTATACAAGCAATGAGGTGTAGGTACATTGCACACGTATAACTAGTATGAAATATTAAGTGTAAAAATGCAACATTTTTATCAGTGTAAATTTAGGACTGCTGCTCCACTCCAAAGCACACTCCTTGCTTTTCAGCCCTGTGAATGTGGGAAGCAATGAAATGCGAGGCAAGTGTCTGCTAGATGAAACACCTGCCTTTCCTCTGTGCTGTGCTGTCACTGACAGACCTATAATAGTTTCCAGCTACGAAACTACTTTCTCAGAATGCATCTGCTGTGAAAGAATGAAATCCTGAAGGATTTTTAACTTGTTACAAATGGACAAGGATATCCATTGCTTAGACTGCTGTGGCTTTAAGAGAGATGATCCGTCCCTACAAAGGTTTCTTAGGACAGTGGAGGATAAGCAAACATCAGTGCTGCTTCAGCACAATTAATTCATGCCCTCAGACCTCTACAAAATACGTCAGGAACTTTCTTTCCCCATGGATACCATAAATTTAGGATTGTGCTCTTTCTCCTGTGTACTGTTTCCTAGGTCCTTCCTGCTTAATGTGCTAGGCCCTTGCTTCTCTTTTCCTTTCCATCCAAGAAAGAGAAAAGTCCAGCTACCCAATGGCCAAGGAAAAAGGATGGGACAAATAAGCAGGCTGCACCAGTACGTCTTCACATGAAGACAGAATAAATTAATCTTCCCAGTCTATGAAACTAGAACATAAAAGCTGTTATATACTGTCATAGAATACTGGATAGATACCAAATAAAGATTGTCCCAACAAATTTACATTTGCAGCATGGAAAAAAAAGGAAGCTGCATAATTCAATATTTTACAGTTTACAGAAAATGTAAAATGTTTTGACTCCAAATCAAATATCTTGGCTTTTTTCCATTTATCAAGTGTTCTGCTGATATCACTTAAGACAATTTAATGACAACAAGAATGTTTACAGAAAGAAGCGATGCTGGCTTTCATTCACTGGGAAATCAACTTTGCCAGTGAAAAATTACTTAAGTGTATACAAAAGATTTTGCATTAATATAAATATTATATTACACTGATGGAAGTATACTTTAGTTTATGATATCCATTTAACATCAGTAATTAATGTACCTTGAAAAGTAAAGCCCTGTGGTAGAACGTCCCTTTTTTGACTTTCCCAACAGGCACAACATTGCATTTCAGCTCAAATTCTATTTCACTTATGTGAAGTTCCCAGCTGAAGTCATGTAGTTTGTCTCTTTCAATCGGGCCACCCATCTTGTCTGCAACAAACCTGTTGCAATATATACCGGGATAAATTACATGTATAATTCCTCTTGTATTTATCACAAAAATGTAGCAAAATGAAATGTATACAAGCAATAAGTGAATGACATATAAGACTTTAATACTTCTGCTGTGTTTGCTTTAATTATTTTATTTAGTAACTGGTATTTTAAATATGTTCACTGTTAAATACAGGTAGCCATAACCCCGGTCATTCACATTTGTCACAGACCTCAACCAAGGTGCAACATCTGTCAGCAGCGATTCCGGAGACGTCTAGTATAGGCACAAAGTTGTCAGAGAAAATCATCAATAACAATGCAATTACTGAGGAAGTAGTTCACAAGCTAGTGTTCATCTTTACAGTTAACAGACTACGTGAGCTACATATTACAAGCCCTACCCCTTCCATTTGTTTGGAATTGTAATAAAGACATAAGAATATATATAACAAAAATAAAGCCATAGGTAATGATCCCAACATAGGAAAGCAACTATATCCAGAAAGGGTGCTTCAACTTCTACGTGTGCTTTCTTATATCAAAGACTATATTTGGGGGGTGAGGGGTGTGTATTTATTCATTAAAAAGAATGGCTCAGTCAAAGAGACAGAAGATCAGAACGCACAATTTGTGCAAACACTGCCAAAAGCATGTCTTCTGGGTGACTGTGCACACACAGGATCAAGCCCTGATCTGTAAGTCCCTACCTCCTCATACATACACCTTCACCTCCCCTATGCATGGCCCCTGTATGTAAAGACCTTTTTTCCTCCAAGTGTCCTCAGCCACAGGCACAAGTGTTATTGAGGGTTCTCACTCTGGACAAGGTGTTGCAGAGCTGACATGGGAATCACAAGCCACTGCTTCGGGCAAGGAGCTAAAATCTGCATCACCTCCTCTGCAGTAAGTGTGAACAGGTTCTGTCCTCACAGTACATGCAAGACAACCTCAAAGACCGTCTTTCTCAAAACCTAGGGCCTGAGGAGGTACTGGTTGCAAGAGCATGGGTACAGGGAGTTATCACCGCGTGGGTTAGATGTGGTATCTTGGAGCTGGGAATTATTGGATGAGCCTGAAGAAGTGGGGGGCTCCAAGCAGTCACTTGTGCAGCTTGTGCCTACAGTCAGCCCTCAGTGAAGAGAGCAAAGGTTCTTGAGCCTACATGCACACCACTCTTGCATGCACACAAAGATGCGCTGCGTTTGTTTAAAAGGAGAGAGCCAGCACTATCATGTGTTCCTTCATCTACCCCGGCAAACATGGCAGGAACTCTTCTCAAGCTGCCAGGCTGCCGAGGGCTGCTGCAGCTGCCTCCTCCTCCCCTTCCTATTCAATGCACACTATTCAGGCAGCTGTTTAAAATGGAACATACACATAAAAATCCCCACAGAAAACATTCTACTTAAATTTCCCGTGATTGTTTCACTGGGTTGTGTGTCTGCAAGTATTTCATTGGTGTGTTTGAAGAGCGGATTTGAAAGAGCATTTTATGGATTCCACCTTGAGGAAGGCAGCATGATTTATACACAGCTGGATAGTTAAGGATGAATATCCATCCTGTCAAATTTGGCAATCAACAGAAAAGTCATTCCTCATATCACATTAGACCACTTCATTAAAAATGAGAGTTAGTAGGAGAAGCAAATTTTGTGAGACTCAGTGGGATCTGACGTCAAACTCTCCAGATTCAGGAGGTAGCCAGGAAACTGCTAAGATAGTAAAGGTTAAACTAAGGAGAAGATGAAAGCAGACACACTGCTTGGAGATGACAGTGATTGGTGCCCAGGCTGAGTAGTCAGTGTAACTAATGAATCACACATTGATAACAGCAGTCTGTACATGCACCATTGCAATATTCTAGCACTATTAAATCATCGGGATGTTAATTACAGTAGCACCTAAAAACTACAGTAGAAAAATGTCTCGTGCTTTTGGCTCTACAGGAAAACAAAATACAAGAGAGTTTCTGTCCCAAGGGGTTTCCAAATCAACTAGACAAGAGAGATTCTAAGAGAAAGGACAGACATGATACATGTAGTATCTCATATATACATAGCTGCAACAGTCTCAGCTAGGGTTTTAGCCTGTCCATTTAGGCACTGCAGCACCTGGGTCTCTCCCATTCGTTGATGATATAGATGCTATATGCAGCTGATGTGTTCACTGGAAAGGATCAGTACACATATATAAATGTGAAAAAACTTACATTGTCCATATGAATATTTTCAAAATGAGAAATTTGTACACTTTTGTTGCAAGTGATTTTTTATTTTTAAAAAATTAAAATAATTACGACAAAATTAGAAACAAGAAGCTTAAAATCTAAAATTATGTCAAAATTCTGGACCAAAGTTGATTTGGATTCCAAGTAAGGATGGGAAAAATAAAAAGTTTGGAAAAATTGTCCTTGGATTAGAAAACTGTTATTTTACCAATTCAACTTATTTGCATTATTTATGGAAATACAATTCGGTACTCACTGTGCAAGAGCCACAACCTGCTCCCGGGTAGTAGTTAGTGGTAGAATGGTTTTGGAAGCATCATTGATGTAATCCAATAAAATGAAGTCAGGTGGTGGTAGCCAATGTGAATTTTCTAGATTTATTTCATCCTGGACTTTATATATAATCTGAATAACTTCTTTCATTCTTTCCTCTTCTTTTTTCCCCTTCCCTTTTCTTACATAGAAAACAATATACACTTATTTAGAATACTGTAATCTCTAAAGTCCAAATGCTAATACAGTAGTTCTCCAACAGGACATTTTAGACAAACTGATTTTGGGGGAAACGTAGGGGACATCTTTTCTCTTGATAATGAATAGTCCAAAATCTACAAAGCTGTAGAAAATATTTGTGGAACATGCCCTCAGGAGATGGTTAGGAACCAAATGACACTAGCTCCATATTAATATTCCTGTAAATTCTCATTTTATGTTTGTCTGTGGCTCTGATATGCTTTTCCCATATATGGATTATCTAGGGGAGAAGACACTTACCTACATAATAATAACAACGACAAGTTTTTAGAGAGTATATAGGAAACATTTTTAGACAGTTACGGTTTGGTTGCATATGGTCATGAATTAAAAATCATGAAAATCATGAGTTTTTACTTGATAGAAATCTGGACTTCAAATAAAGGAACAAATGGTATCAAGAGCATGGCTGAAATCTTGACAGGACATACCAAGCGGTAATCTCTGTAGTTGCAAATCCATGTACTTAAAGCATTATACAAACTACAACATAGTTTGTCAGATGAAGATTTTATAAGAGATCTGCTTTTGCTGACTTTTTTCATTGTACATGCTATATTTTTCACTGATGTTCAGAATCTGAAAAATGACTGTGATCCTGAACAGGCATCATAAGCAGAGGAATAAATGAAATGCTTGTTCGGCTTAGCTAGAACACTGTGCATTTCACAAGTTATGCAGCAACTATAAAATCAGTATCTTACCAGTGGTATCTTTAAGATCTATACAATCAGTCAACTTAGGATTTTTCATTTGTGGGAACACATGGAACTTGTGTTTTGTAAGCACTATGTCTTTCTTCAGCATAGGTCCTGAATAATTCTAATGTGAAATATGAAAAAAATTTCTTTCCTTTGTTTAACAGTTCTGGCTTATTTTTTAAAATCCATAATACTTCTGGCATTCTTGGAAGGAAAAAAAAGAAATAAAGGACCAGTAGAGTACATGGCTCCAAGGCACACTATCATTATTGTATGCTTTTCAAATTCTCAAAATTTTTACAATGAACAGCATTCTTAAGACAGAAGGCATTGGACAAAGCAGAAAGGCGTATACCATTATCAGTAGTCTAATTCAAGCAATTTGTCTTCAGAATACTTTGCAAACTTTTCTTATACCTATTGAGATTTATCATATTCACAAAAAGCCCTTTTCATAGATTTCATAAAGCACATTTTTTCAGAAGGATAACCAATTAAGATTTAATCTTAAAATTATACAAAATTTACCACCCTCTTAAATAAACTGTTCTGGTTATTAATTACATATACTTGAAAAAAGCAGACAAACAGTTTTCTTTATCTAATGTGACTCTATTTAACTATAGCCAGGGGACCTTACAATACTAGATTAAACAGCTACCTACTTCTATTTATACACTTATGATTACGGTTAAGAATACCCTGTTTAAAAAAAAACCCTGAATTACTCCCACCTCTCTGGTGTCTGACTTAGCAGGTTTTCAAAACAACAATTTCTACAAATGGTATAATTCTTGTTCCTTGACCATTTTCTCTCTTTGTCCTCTGCTCTTCCCTTCTATTCTCCCAGAACTTTCTTTTCCCCATGAAAAGTGCACCGCTAAATTATAGCGCTATAGCAGAAGAATTTGTTCCCTTTTCCTATCTACTCAAATTACTCTTGAATGACTCTTTTTTTTCAGGAATAAAAGACCTGAGAAGGATGGGTTTGAACAATGGTTTGTTTGGTTTTTGCTGCTTCTTATTTCTCTGAGGTATGACTATATTCTGTTCCTTGGTGGAATGGCTGATATAAGGTTGTCTTCCACACCTGTCTCTACCCTACTTCTCAACTCTTCAGTTCACCATGTCTGTCTAACATTTATCTTGTAAGGAACTATGGAGTTGCTGTCTTACAGCTCAGTTCTATAAAATAATCAGTAACCATTGCAGTAGACTTCTGCTGTCTTCTTCCTACCCGCTTTTTTTATCCCCGTTATATTTACCAATGGGAATTACGACATCAGAAAAAAATCACTCCCCTTTCCCAAAGCTGTCTTACTACTCGTGAGACATACTTGCTGCAAATGCAGAGGAACATTGCAAAGGAGAACTTATGGCAGTTAATAGTCTCCAAGCTGTTTCTGATTCCTGTTGCAACTTCAGTACAAAAGTCCAATGGGTCACCAGAGAGTCAATGTGAGGAAGAAGGCAGCCAATGCAATATCCTACCACCAAAAGACAGCCATGACACCTATTTTCATTCCTTTTTTGCATAGCTTAATGCTTTGGCTGTCTTCAGAAAAGGAGTAAATCAGCATTGGAAAGTATTTCCTTAAATGCTGTACTGGAACATAGCATGGAATAAAGCACATTTATCAGTCTACATTAAATATTACCTTTTAGTCCAGTCTATGTGTATATCAGATATGCAACTGTTTGATCAAAAATGTTGCTATCTGTCTATGCAAATATACGTCAAACTATCAACTAGGCACTTCCTCTACATCTAATTCAAACAATTCCAGCAGACAATTACAACTGTCCTTTCTCTTAGCTTTCAACTATGGTTTATATAAAGTAGTATCATTTTTTCAAAACAATGGCTTTAAACTGTGTTCAGTAGTACTTTGCAACATAATGATGAACAGAAACATATGATCAAAGGAAAAAAATATGTAGGAAAAAGTCTAAGCATGGTTGAGACTTGGAGTCAGATACTGACCTTCAAGTAACTCACATATATCTCACAAATTAATAATAATAATGATGTATGAATTATGGATTCAAAATGAATGACAATGGGGTTATAAATCATACAACTTGACCATGACATTCAAAAGCAATTACTTCATACTTGAAGAAAGAAGTCTTTGTATCCCTGCAAGTTTACTATGGGAAATTGAGCCAGGTATTTGTTTTTTCCTAAAGAAATTTTTTTGCTTTCCAGAAGTGTTATGGTTGCTAACAGAGCAGTCATTTACCATGTAATTGACATAAATTACGTTAAAAAGCAACTATCCAAGGGTATCCTCATCTCACACTGTAATAAACAAACATATTATCTTGTCAGAACAGGTCTCTAAGCTCTGCACAGCTGCTTGAGACTATGCAACATGGTCTACAACTCTAGAGCATCTTCTGAGATGAAGAAATCCCCCAGTGGTGCAGAGCAAACATAACTGGGGCTCAATATCTCCCCTTGCCTCCTGCTCTCTGAGCAAACTGGCATATGCGTGGTGGGTCATGACCACAGCATGCTGGGCATCGGGAGGACCTGGTAAATAAGCAGAAGCTAGAATAGGCCTGGTAAGACACTCAAGATGCAGTATCTACTCTTTTGCATCCTGAAACAGGAACCTTCCACAATGCAATTCATACGATCATTTCAGGTATCTACTGCAAAATGATTTAAACTGAGTTCCAGAAGTGCTTGCAGTCCAAATAACTAGTCAAATGTAAATGTCTGCCTTGTAAGTCAATAACTTTTGGATAGACTTATTTCACAGTTCGGGTCCTCATTTAAGTCAGAACCTCAACCCTTCACAGTCAGTAGCTATTACCTGACAACATTTTGCATGTCAGTTCTAAACAAAGTGATACACATATAATTCAAAGTATAATACCTTAAGCCTTTTTCTCTAGTGCTGCTTTTGCTCAGTGAAGACCATTGTCCAGATAACTCCTGCTTTTCCTCCACTGGAGATACCATTGAACTATTGAGATCACAAAGCAGGTTCCAATTTTCTCTTGATTTCATCTCTCAAGCACACACAGATACATACATACACAGAAATATATAAGCAGTCTAAGAAATCAACCATTATCTCTATCAATAAAATGCCTGTACAGACAGTAGCATATCATAGTTCACAGATGAGCTCTAAGCTAAAAATGGCAAACATAGTACCTCAGTTCCTACAACAGACACTCCATCTCTCCCTTTTTTCAAACCCTGCAGTGCTTAGCATTTTGTAATGCCCACCACTGAATAGAATTAACAGCCCTGAGGCATGGCCAAGGCCCCCTATACCATAAAATAAGGAAAATTAGGAAATCAGAACCCACAGAAAGCAGCATAATAAATGGTCAGCTCACTAAGTCAGCTAACAGAAAAGCCGAGGAGAGTTGTAGGTTACATCACGTTCCTTTCAAGGACTAGACACCATCCCATTGATGGCAAGGAGGCTCTATTTAGACTGGTTTTGGAATCCTGAACATTCCCCTGGAATTAGGCATGTACACCTGCCTTCTCTGAAAGGCACTGTTGTGGTCGTGATTGTGCTGTTGTTTCACATAAAGAGTTATCGGTTCAGTTGGGAGACCAGGGTTCAGTTTTCTTCCACAGGAACAAACTAAGGGTTAAGCATTTTATATTAAAAGTCATCAAGACAAGAACTAGAACTTTGGTCTCGACTCTCTCAGATAAGTGCCCTAACAGCTGAAGTAGAAAGCTCTGTTCATTATGCCTCTTCGTTAGTGAACAGCTACAACGAACCAGAATGAGACTGATAAACCCCAAATATGATATGATCAGCTATCTGCAGGTAGGAGAGGCAGGCTCAGATCCTCTTTCTGTAAAAGAAGGAAATTAATTTCCCACAACAAGGTTAGGGATTCTGACTTATTTCGTATGAGCAGACATGCCTACCAGATCAGTTCCACAGAAAGGACTGCAGGACTGTACCTAGTGTATGGTATGGATCAGAGGGGAGCCCTGCAAGAGCGAGGCATTTTTAGATTTGTTGCTGTCAAAACTGGGACAGTTCTGAGCACACCCTTCTCAGCTTTTAGTAATCTATGGAATTTCACTGGAAGAAATTTAATCTAGAAATAAGGATGCATGTAGGCAGTGTAGAAATTTTCATGGGTCTAGGTTCTAAATTGAGAAAGAACTTCTACCCTAATTTCCCCATGTCTTGGTTGTCAAGCTGTAAAATAACAACATTTCACTGCCTCCTAGGGATATTGAAAGGAAAAACAGCCAAATAAATGGGAGATGTTCAAATACAGCATGAGGAGGGAGGACAAATAATTACTAAGTTAGACAAAGGCAGATTACTGCAATTAGGAGGTGAAAGAAAGACTCTGAAAACATAGTTAACATTATATTTGAGCATTTGTACTCTGTTAGGAAACTTTCTATAACTATTTTCAATCAGAATTCTATTTCTAATAATAGAGAGCAATAACAGAACATTGACAAGTAAATCTTAAGACTATACCTTGCTTTTTCTCTACTGCCTTTTCTTGAAATACAAGGTGACAAGATAGTCTGTTCATAAGAGGAATCTTGTGCCTTCTCCTCTACTGCAAGGACACTGAAACAGAACAAGATATTTTTGCATATTATTTGCAGAGATAGTATTTGCATGTTAAGCTATGAAAATGGAGTTCTGATTTTAAAGGACAGTAAGTATATTCATAGGAAGTACATAAGTGGAAGAAATAACATAACCACTAATAAACCGGATACCAATTCAGGGATCAAAAAAGAAGTACAGAATACCAAATGATAGGCACAAGAGTAACTGGGGAGTAAGACTGCTGCCAAGTGCAAAGGCAAGAAGCTGTATCAAAGTCAAAGAAAGAAAACCTGATAGTTAAAGACAACTCCAGGGATCAACAAAGAGCATGGAAATTTCATTTGTCATAGATATTGTCAGACATCTTTATGGTGTCATATACAAGCTTAAAAGGGAAGCTAATGATACTGTAAACCAAATATGTGATGTGTTGACAGAGAAGAAGGTTTTGGACTTGCAAAATATTGGTAGAGCATTCTTTGATCTGTGAGACTGTTTACAGGAAATGACTCCCAGTTAAACAAGTCCAGTACCAACTTCCTGCATTCAAATCTAAGAAGATTTGGTAGGCTGGCTTCAACTTAAACAGAGAAGAAATGGACACAGGTTCTTTATCAAGCCTAAAAGCTTGATACTTGGCTTTGTCCTGCCTCTTGGGATGTTGTGCTTAAAATTCCACGCATTTGTCTGTACAAGAAGATCATCAAATCATAGGTTTCATTGTCACATGTTGACATTCAGCTTAGATGACATAATTATTATGGCAGATGACAAGCTTTGTTATAACTAATAAATCACTGGGTGTCCCACCATCAGGAAGGGTGTTAAATGAATGAGTCTTAATGGCTAAGACAAAAAAGCAACTCAACTGAATAAATCTTTTCTGTCTAGAGGGGAAAAAAGTTATTTTCCAAATTCTTATTTTATAAAATAAAAATCTCTTGCCTTCTAGGACATGAAGCACTATGCTGAGATCTCTCTATTTTATATATGTGTGTATATTTATATACACACACTATGTAGTTTGTACTGGAAACAGTGGAAAGGACAGAAAAGATGAGCTATTGCAATAAATGTTGGTAGATCAAACATGACTCACTCTTCTCGTGGTTTAGCATTAATGAAGATTATGGCCCGACGGTCAGTAAGCTCTTGCATGCTCAGTTCCTCCAAAGATAAAAATTTCGCTCCAGGTTTTATCTACAAGAAAATTAGAATAAAAGATAAGGTGTTCTGTTCAGTTAAATGTGAAGAGAAAAAAAATACTTAAAAGATACCTAACGAGTAATTTTAAAATCCTAATCTTCCACAGAAGACTTACATAAGAACTTATAAAGCCGTTCAAAATATGTGAAATTGGCTTCTTCTTCATTTGCATTTTCTTCATCAATTTTCTTAGAAAGCTTGTTTATAAATAATTTAACTTGTAATTATTGTTACTATGTCATTCCAACAGTTCTAGAATAAGGAAATGTTACTGCCTCTGAAGGCTTTACAATATAGGATAGAATTTTCAAAAGCAACCAAGTGCTTTAGGAGCAGGTATTTCACTGAATTTCAGTAAGACTGGTATTTCTAATTCATTTGCGCATTTTGAAAAGTCCTCAGGTTTAAACTGAACACAGCACTAACAAGTGATACATAGTGGAGTCATTCTTTACATATAAACAGTGCTTTGTGAGAGAAAGGGTCATGACCAAGGTGAAATCATGAACTCTCTCCTTCTTTATGTAAAACTAAACAAACAAAAAGTCCATAGGTCATTCAGTGTCAGGTTAGTATTAAGTATACTGCAGGGAGAGAGACCAGAAGAACTAAGATCTGAGAAAGGATCTGGAAAGGAACTAGGAGCTGCACAGCTTACATAGGATTGGGAAGAAGATCTCAACTGGGGGATAGCATGAAGATGAGATTTCATCCATGAAGAAAGATAATCAAAAGAAATTAGTATAAAAGCTGGGAAACTTCAGGACAAGTAAAGTATTTTATGTAGCGAGATTCTGGCTTTTGCTACAGTACTCTTACTTTTTCTAAATCAAGAAGAAAATTTTACTCTTTCTAAGTAGAGTAATTTATTTAAAGTAGCTTACCTGACCACAATCATAGAATCCATCAGTAATGATGTTACTTGATGATAAATATCCCATCTGGCTGTACTTTTGGGAAAGATTGTTATCAAGTAGCTTTTCCAGAGCAGCTTCACTAAAGTTATTTTTGCGCCCTGTTGATAGATTAATTTCTTCTAGGATGCCTAAAGCACTGTTAAACACAATACAAAGGCTAATTCATCATTAAATACCAATTAATTGTTATTATAAAATTCAGACTTAGTTTTCAGCATTGCCGAGGCCAAGACAGATTCATTTACAAGTGCTAGCCTGGTGCCCCCTGGGCCAGCAAGGAGCTGGCTGTGCTGCACAGAATTCTTTCTCTAGGGGAGGAAAATATCTTGCAGTGCTTAAAAGCAATTCCCTCAGGCAGTTAACAGTTACATAAAGAAATGCTGACAGGATGCCACAACCTTTTATCAGAAGGATGTTAGGTACCACAGAGAACTTGAGAAAAAGAAGGATGTAAAAGCAGAGTAAAAGAAATAATGTTCAGAGCTGACCATATAATACATTTCGAGGAATCTCTCTCTCTCTCTCTCTCTCAACTTGCAATGCAATTTGCAGATTCCATTATGCAATGTGTGAATCCTTCTGGTTTAGGACTGTTACTGCATTTAGGGAGGGATAGTTGGCAGAGATTTGCAAAACACAGATGACCATGGAAACACAAGCCGTTGTGTCAGCATCACCAGGTGCAGGATTTTTGCAGCGTGGAGGTAGAAACAAATAATCATGTGGGGACACGGGAGGACAGAAATTCATTCCTTAAACTGGTTTTGGTGCTGAAACCCGCATACTGATAACTTCTGACCTGAGAAACTTAGGAAAAGGTCACTAAGAAGAAAAAGGAAGCTGAATCAGGAGAACATAACATAGTGCAGTTTTGGAACTGTTTAGGAATGAAAACAACAGGAAAAAAGAGGGAGATATATTCATGTCTATGTAGAATCACAGAATCATAGAATCATT